CTCAGCCCACTGTGGGTTTTAAAAACGCTCTTCAGAAACACCGGGTGATGTCACTATGACGTCAAATATTTTTATACAGTCTATGGTTTCAACACACTACTCACTAACTCAACCAGGCCCCGCCCCTTTATTCTTTATTCTATTCTATTTATTATATTTTTTTACTTATGTCATTAAATAATTATTATTATACGCGAATGTCCGCGTCTTGTACTCGCCCAGGAAATCTGTGTAAACCGTACGGCACCAGACAGGGGCAGTCGACCCGGGGTATTCACAATGTTTTCTCTTCAAAATTGAAATTTTACTGCCACAATTGAAACAATTTATAACAGAAACTGTTTACCCACTCGACATTATACAAGGGGTAACGTTGTAACGTTAGTGACAGTCGTAAATCGCAGGCTGTTTATTCCAGTGGACGCAAGTTGCAACTAAAACAATAGGAGGCAATGGCGCAACGCTACCCAACAACAGCTCAGTAATGGCGCCCGCTTACTTCCGGTAGTTTCGCCGGATTCGTCTATAGAGGAGAACTGGAGCTTTTCATGATTAATCAGCAACATTGATGATCAAAAAATAAAACATTTTAAGTTCTCTTTAATGTGTGTTCTGCATGAGAGTGTACAGAAAGTCTCACTGCTGAATATTTAGAATGTACTGCAGATGCTCTGTGTGTGTGTGTGTGTGTGTGTGTGAGAAACACTGGGATGATCTTCTGAGATTGTCATAATGCATGCATGAGATGCTGTATCCCACAATACAGTGCACTCAGCTTGGCTTTTAAGCAGGCATCAGACAGTGTTTAGTTTCTCTGATAAATGTTAACATGATTTCTGTAAAGCTGTTTTGAAGCTCTACTCAGTCACATGTGCAGGTTCTCCTGGCGCTCATGTTCTTCCCGTTAGTGGTTTTGGCCAGAGTTAGTCCCGCTGCCTCCCGGGAGCAGAAAAACGCCCATTCTTGTTTTTCATGCAGGAACATGTTCATTAGTCTTTGTATTGTATGGTGCAGTTTTGTTTGAGCAAAATCATAAATCTTTATACAATTAGAGAAGATCCACTTGGCTGTGCAAGTTTTCCTCAAGATTAATACGAGCAGCTCTGCGATGCAGCACAAAATAAAGGACGGCTCCTGACTAAATAAATTACAGCCAAATGTCGTTCATCTTCAGAATCGATCAAACTCGGGAGGTTTATTGTTCTGGTGTGCGTTTTAGACAGAAAGGAAGCGTTCGCTCTGATGATCCTCAACACTGACACAATATGTGTCTGAGTGTGTGTGTGTGTGTGCGCGTGTGTGTGTGTGAGAGTATGCCTGAGTGTGTGTGTGTGTGTGTCTGTGTTACGTGCTTGAAGATGTTAATGGGATGATTGCACAACATTTAAGTGAGATACAACTGTTGCCATGGGTGCAAGTAGCAGAAACAACAAAGAAGTAGAACAATTTTAGTTAACTATGTTTTTATTGAAAAGGTGCAAGGAGTTTACAAAACAGATTATAAATATAAAAGAGTCACCTATCAAGTCACCTTTATTTATATACCACTTTTTACAATAAAGATTGTATCAAAGCAGCTTCACAGTGATAACATGAAAATAATACAAGTTTGTTTCTGGAAGAAATCTGCGTCATCGTTCACCTGAAGTAAGGCAGCTCAATCATATTGTTGAATATTAAATGTCCCCAACTAAGCAAGCCAAAAGCCAAGGCAACAGTGGCAAGGGACCAAACCTCCATCAGGGACAGAATGGAGAAACCCTCGGGAGAATCCAGACTCAGTCGCTCAGTTCTCCTCTGGCCAACGAAGGAACAGTGTGTGATAATGATCCAGGCAGCATTACAGGTCAGAGGTCAGAATGGATCAGAACATTCACAGTATTCCCCCTGGTTGGAGGTCGTCATCACGCCGGTATGGAGACGAGTTTGTTGAGGTGTCCATGAGGCCTTCACTGCGCTGATGAGGCTGGCACTGCAGGGATGCGTTGTGGCCGTGTCCAGGTGCAGGTCCACCGTCTGTATATTACAATAATCTAGCCTTGATGTCATGAACGCATGAACTAACTGTTTCGCATTTGTCAATGAGAGCGTATGGCGTAATTTATATATATATATTTTAAGACGGAAGAAAGTTGTTTTTACATATGCTAGACACATTTAGTTTCAGATGCACACACAGGTTTCTAACTGACGACGATGACTTGACAAAGCTGCCATCAAGTGTTAGACAGTATTGCTGGTTAGTATGTCAGGAAGTTTTTGGCCAATAATTAGAATCTCTGTTTTTTTCAGAATTTACTTGTAGGAAATTACTGGTCATCCAGATTCTTATATCAGCTCTGCATTCCTTTCACTTTGTGAATCGTCAGGGAGTGAAGAAATATACAGCATAACAGGGAAAACCAATGCTATGCTTCCTAATGATATCTCCTAAGGGTAGCATTAAGGTGAACAGCAGCGGTCCTAGTACTGAGCCTTGTGGTACGCCTTACTGAACTTGTAATCGATAAGACATCTCTTAATTTACTGCTACAAACTGATAACGGTTAGATAAGTATTATTTGAACCATGCTAATGCAATTCCATTAAAGCCAACATATTGTCTGTTTCGTGTCTATTTAAAAAATGTTGTGGTTGATGGTATCAAATGCAGCACTAAGATCGAGTAACACTAATAGAGAGATACCACCACGATCAGATGATAAAAGCAGATCATGTGTGCCTCTAATGAGAGCTGTCTCGGTACTATGATGTGGTCTAAATCCTGACTGAAAATCCTCGCAGATATCATTTCTTTAACGAAAGGAACACAGTTGTGAGGATACTGCTTTTTCCAGTGTCTTTGACAGAAAAGGCAGATTCGAGATTGGCCTGTAACTGAGTAATTCTGTAGGATCAAGTTTAATGATCAAGTGGTTTAATCATAGCCAGCTTAAAACTTTTTAGTACGTATTCTAATGACAAAGATGAATTAATGATATTGAGATCATTAATCCTCCTCTTCTAAGTTTTGCTAAAACTTCCTCTTCTATAGTAATGAATGAATCAATTTTTTTTGTCAGGGACTCTATGCACTCGTGATGCGATACACTAGTAGACGGTTGCATAGTTTTTTCCCTGGTATTATCAATCTTGTAAGACAAGAAGTTCATAAAGTCATTACTGATGTGCTGTTTGAAAACGTCTGGTGTTGAAGTTTAATTTAATTAGTTTCGAATAAATACCTAGGGTTGCGTTTGTTTTCTTCTAAGATTGTTGAAAAATAAGCAGTTTTTAAGGCCTCTCTGTATGCAATCGTGCTCTCTTTCCATGAAATACGAAAAACGTCTAATTTTGTTTTCTTCCAGCTACTCTCCATTTGTCTGGCTTCTCTCTTAAGGGCCCGAGCGTACGTAAACAAGTAAATAGAAATCCAACAAAAAAAGAGCGTTGCCAAATCAATGAAATAACCAAAACAGAATTTCAACTACCTACCAAAAGAAAAATGCAAAAATTGCAAAAAGAAATGTTTCGAAACCACAGCATAAACAAACATTAACGTGTCCTGATCACGACTCTACTGACATTTTATGGCAAAGGCACAGGTGTTGAATGAGATCTAGTGCTGATCTGCTCACTCCTTGTCAATGGGGCCTTTTAAACTGCCAGCGGATTGGTTGGTCGTGATGTATGACGTTGTTACGTAAATGGTAAATGGTAATGGACAGCCATATTTTCCAATGATCATAACCTATGATTAATTTGTAGAAACAAATAGAGACAAAAGCACAAAATTGAAAAACAATACAAAATACAAAAACACATGTGGAACATAACAGTGTGTGTGTGTGTGTGTGTGTCTGGGTGCGGTTATGAGTCTATTCTTGTTGGGCTTGGAGAAACATGTATTTTCTTGTCTGTCCTGCTTCAACTACAATTCCAATTTCATGCATGTTAGAGAGAAAGACAGAGCCGCTCTGAGAAGAGAGAGAGAGAGAGTGTGTGTGTGTGTGTGTGTGTTTTAAAAAAAGGCAACAGTGATTGGTTAGGAGACCACAAAGAGAGAGAGGGCGAGAGAGAGAGAATGGAGTGTAGAGCCACTGCTGTGAGGAACAGACTCAATCTGCCACCTAGTGAACATCATTTATCAGACACTGACGACTGTCCATTTACTACCCTACATTCGAGGACGTGAGTCTTCATGTCGTCTATTTACTAACCGAAGGTCTTCATCTCGTCCTGAACAGCTCGGAGCTCTCGTTCTCCCGGATGCTTTAATGGCCTCACATTCAATGGTTACTTTTGCCCAGCTGTCATATTATATGATGTCAGTCCAGGCTGTATTTTGGTATTCTGTGGTCATTTTCCAATGTACCTTTAACATAAAGAACTTTGTGCACATTGTGATCAGTATAAATGTTGTAGGCGTGTAACCTGATTTGCATAATTCCTTTATTGAACTGAACTCCCTTATTGAACTGAATCCTCAGAGTGGTGGGGGAGGGGCCTGGACGGAGATGATACTAAAGGGGAGGGGTTTGGGTCAAATGGGGTAGAGTTTGTGATTGAAGGGGCGGGGTCTAGTATAGATGGGGCGGGCTTTACGAGTGAATGTTCACAGGCGTGATAAATGACTGTCTGATTTATTGCAGGTTTGCTTTGCTGAAGCTGCAGCTCTGAGTTTGTTTCAGTCTTGATCTCAGAATCAGTAAATCAGGAAAATGACAAAGAGCGTCATTAAATGGTGCATGGGTTTGATGAATATGTGGGATTGTGTGCGCATTGATCAGACAAGTTTTGGTGTAATGGATGGAAGTGTCTGCAGCCCGTAACTGATGATGTGTGTGTGTTATTTCCACATGCGTTTGACTTTATTGATGCTCTACAAAATCCTCATTAAACACGGAGTTTATTATGAGCGTACGTCACGAGGTCAGGCGGACTGAAGAGACGTGTATCTGAACACTAATCTTCCAGCATCCCTCTGCTCATGTCGTTCTGCTCTGGTTTTTCTCTTTCAGTTCCTGCGATCATCTATAAAGTGTCGGAGGACATCACTGTGAACGAGGGCAGTAACGTGACGTTGACGTGTTTGGCCAATGGGAGGCCAGATCCCTCCATCACCTGGAGACTACTCAACCCGTCAGGTGAGAGAGAGCCAATCAGCTGCTGCCAAACCTCTGGTCCTCAGGTCAGTCTTTGCTATAGGCTACAGGACTCTTGAACACCAGACAGAAAGAAGACATAGAAACCACTCATAATACCCTAGCAACCGTCAGTCTAAAGTGGTCTTTGGTTCGAGTGTCAGAAGATCTCCATCGCTCTGACTGGATTCGGTCAGCATGTTCTTTCTGCGAGAGAAACGTGTGAATCATGTAGAGCAGCTTTTTTATTAGCGTGTGCTTGTGCGTGTCTGTGTGTGTGTGGTTGATCAGTGGTTTCATGTTCACAGTGTATCTGTTGTCCTGAAGATCTTTCTCATCGACTAAAGCTGACGCGCTGGGAGCCACATTTACTGAAAAGAGCTGAATGCTGTTTAAAGTATTGACCAGCGGTGTGTGTGTGTGTGTGTGTGTGTGTGTGTGAGAGGCACTGGGTCGATGCAGTGATGGTTGGAGACTCTGCTCCCCACATAAGGTCACTAAAGGTCAAAGGCGAAGGCTTTTTACCAGCTGGAACCTTAATCAAGTGTTATCAGTGTAACCTAAAACCAGTTCGGAGTCCTAAACCAGCTCTAAACCAGCACTAAACAGCACTAAACCAGCACTAAACCAGCTTTACACCTGCCCTAAACCAGCACTAAACCAGCTTTACACCAGCACTAAACCAGCACTAAACCAGCTCTAAACCAGCACTAAACCAGCTTTACACCAGCATTAAACCAGCACTAAACCAGCTTTACACTAGCTCTAAACCAGCACTAAACCAGCACTAAACCAGCTCTAAACCAGCACTAAACCAGCTCTAAACCAGCACTAAACCAGCTCTAAACCAGCACTAAACCAGCACTTAACCAGCACTAAACCAGCTCTAAACCAGCACTAAACCAGCTCTAAACCAGCTCTAAACCAGCACTAAACCAGCACTTAACCAGCACTAAACCAGCTCTAAACCAGCACTATACCAGCACTATACCAGCATTAAACCAGCATTAAACCAGCACTAAACCAGCTCTAAACCAGCACTAAACAGCACTAAACTAGCTCTAAACCAGCACTAAACCAGCTCTAAACCAGCTCTAAACCAGCACTATACCAGCACTATACCAGCATTAAACCAGCATTAAACCAGCACTAAACCAGCTCTAAACCAGCACTAAACAGCACTAAACTAGCTCTAAACCAGCACTAAACCAGCTTTACACCAGCCCTAAACCAGCAATAAACCAGCACTAAACCAGCTGTAAACCAGCTCTAAACAGCCCTAAACCAGCCCTAAACCAGCTCTAAACCAGCACTAAACCAGCTTTACACCAGCCCTAAACCAGCAATAAACCAGCACTAAACCAGCTGTAAACCAGCTCTAAACAGCCCTAAACCAGCCCTAAACCAGCTCTAAACCAGCACTAAACCAGCTTTACACCAGCCCTAAACCAGCAATAAACCAGCACTAAACCAGCTGTAAACCAGCTCTAAACCAGACCTAAACCAGCACTAAACCAGCTCTAAACCAGCACTAAAGCAGCTTTACACCAGCAATTAAACAGCTCTAAACCAGCTCTAAACCAGCACTAAACAGCACTAAACTAGCTCTAAACCAGCACTAAACCAGCTTTACACCAGCCCTAAACCAGCAATAAACCAGCACTAAACCAGCTCTAAACCAGCTCTAAACAGCCCTAAACCAGCCCTAAACCAGCTCTAAACTAGCATGAAACCAGCCCTAAACCAGCTTTACAGCAGCCTTAAACCAGCACTAAACCAGCTTTATACCAGCTCTAAACCAGCACTAAACCAACTTTACACCAGCCTTAAACCAGCCCTAAACCAGCCATGAACCAGCTCTAAACCAGCACTTAAACAGCACTAAACCAGCTCTAAACCAGTCCCAAACCAGCCCTAAACCAGATCTAAACCAACACTTTAACAGCTCTAAACCAGCTCTAAACCAGCACTAAAGCAGCTTTACTCCAGCCTTAAACCAGCCCTAAACCAGCACTAAACCAGCAACAAAATCAGCTCTACACAGCACTAAAGCAGCTTTACACCAGCCCTAAACCAGCACCAAATCAGCTCCAAATCAGCTCTAAACCAGTGAGGGCCGCGGGAGAACGGCGCGAGTCATGTTTACTGTGGCGAGCGGGACCTGTGATTGGTCTGTTAGCGCATTAGACCCAACCCTCTATGGGCGGGTTTGAAAGGGTGGGATCAGTGCTTGTAGTCTTTACAGAAATCCCCCCCCCCCTCTTACACTTCCTCCTACAATGAGGTAAAATTACGATTTTTATGTCACTGTAGGAGGAAGTGAAAAAGGTAAATAGCAGATTTCTCTCATCTCAGGGGAAAATGAGAGAGTGTTGCACAATCATTCAATAGTATAACTGGGTTTCTAACAATGGAAAGCTTAATGCAAATGGGTGGAGTGTCCCTTTAAATAACTCATTTATACTGAAGGATTCATGCTAGTTATTGAACAGAAACACAAGATTCACATTTCTGCTGTTCCGCGACTCGCACACAAGCTTACTTCATTTTTACATTTTCACACCACAATATAAGGACATTGCATCCTCATAATGTAGGTCAAAACAGTGCGCACACACACACCACACAAACACACACACACACACACACACACACACACACACACACACACACACACACACACATTCTCACAGACTCACCGTAGATGTGTGTTAGGTTAGGGTTAGGGTTCAATCTTTTATAAACACCTAATTTATACTGAAAAATGTATATGATAAATTTAATAAACTTTGTTTAAATTAAGTTACATAATTATTATATTTTTCTTCTACTCAATAGAGTGATGTGCCAGTTTGTGTGTGTGTGTGTGTGTGTGTGTGTGTGTGAACACATTAAGTGTATTTATTGTGTCTGTGATCTTTCAGTTCTGCTGAACTTTGCCAATTTCATGGTTTTACATAAATTAGTATTCCCCAAATAAATGCATTGTGCCTCGCTGTGGTAAATGATGCTCATTAATAAAACATGAGTATGTAAAAAGGAGCAACCCCTCTGCTCACTCGTGCTCTGAAACGCTTTTCAACTTCCTGATGAAAAGCTGACCACATCAGTGTGTGTGTGTGTGTGTGTGTGTGTGTGTGTGTGCGCGATGTTTTTCTCAGCTAGGTTGTTGATGTTGTTGGATTATTATTCCTCACTCACTCACTGATGTTATGTTAGTGCTGTGATCTGGAAGAGCCTCACATGCACCTTCTGCTGGACAAGCCAAACTATGATGATGACGTGTGTGTGTGTGTGTGTGTGTGTGTGTTCAACAGCCGAGCCTCTGGACGTGGGCGAGTATCTGGAGATCTCTGGGATTGTTCGCTCTCAGGCCGGACGTTACGAATGTAAAGCAAGCAATGACGTGTCCACACCCGATGTCAAATACGTCAATGTGGTGGTCAATTGTAAGTACATGTCCACAAGATCAGACTGTTGTGTGACAGTTGTGTGTTTGTGAGAACAGACGGATGTGTGTGTCCACAGACCCGCCGTATATAAAGGAGGTGCGCAGCTCCGAGACGCCAGTGGGACAGGCAGGAGTTCTGCACTGCGAGGCGTCTGCGGTTCCTCAGCCAGAGTTTGAGTGGTTCAGAGAGGAGCGCAGGTCAGTCAACCCTAACCAACCCTAACTAACCTTAACCAACCCTAACCTAACCATATAACTAACCCAAACTAAGCCTAACCAACCCTAACCTAACCCTAACCAGCCTTAACCAACCCTAACCAACCCTAACCTAACCCTAACTAACCCTAATCTGCTCCTGTAACCCAGCCCGTAAGCTTTGGTTCCCAGAACCTTCCCAAAACAACCATCTTAATGGTTTGCTTTTGTTTAGCCAGGAAAGTTTTCTTAAGGTTATTCCTCTAACATTGCCTTAATATTTCCTTACATTAAACTAGTTAGGGAACATTTACTTAAAAAAGTAATTAGTTATAGTTACTAGTTACTTCTCACAAATAGTAACTGAGTTAGTAAGATCATTATAAAAGTAACTAATTACCAGGGAAAGTAACTATTACATTACTTATAATTTTTTTTTCAAATATGTGAAATAACTTGGATGCCCCCAATATCAAATACGTTAAATGAATGAAATGGACATTAAATCACTATTAAATATAAAACTTTAAATCACTAAAAATCTAAAACTTGATAAGAAATAGTCTTTGAGATTGTTTAAATATATGTTGAAATCCACCTATAACAAAAAAAAAATAAGTAAACGTGTCCATGAACAGCTGGGGAATTCACATGCCTCTCCATAGAGAACTGTACATTTCATCTAGTGGTTACAACATGGTTCTACGCTTTCTCTCCATACTCTTACCAGATGGCGCTAATCTGCCTTCAAAAATATTTTTTGGAAGGCCTAGTCTCTATTTTAACCTAAAATACTGCTAAAAAAAAAATAAAATAAAAAATGTATATATAAAAAAAAGTTTGTATTATTTTCAATGACAAAAATGGACCATAAATATTGCATAAATATTAATAAGTAACATCAAATTGGCTCAAAATACAAAATTAAAAAGAAAAAATATGACTGAACAAAAATAAATTGCATCGGTTTTACTGGGATGGAGAAAGTTTCATTTTTAGGTGTCCGGTCACTTTTGACCGGGAAGATAACAAGTGTGACTCCAAAACGAAGAGCACCTGAGGGTTAAATATGATAAATTTACATTTATTCTTTCAGCTGACACTTTTATCCAAAGCGACTTACAATTGCTATATATGTCAGAGGTCGCTCGCCTCTGGAGCAAACAGGGGTTAAGTGTCTTGCTCAGGGACACATTGGTGTCTCACAGTGGATTCGAACCCGGGTCTCTCACACCACAGGCATGTGTCTTAACCACTGCGCCATCACCACCCCATAATAATTATTATTATAAAACATTGTATACTAATCTGCACTATTTTAATGTTGCTGTGGGACAATATGAGAGACTAGCCTGGCTAGTCTGTGCACCTGCGTACAACCTTCACTGTCAAGCAGACTTTTGCGTTTTTACCGTTTACACGGGAACGCGGCGGTGGAGTGTTTTTAAGATTTCCACTCTGGAGGGTGGTTTCACTTTTTTTGCGTTTTTAAGCCCCAAAAATGCTGTTGCCGTGTAAACGAAAGGCACATCCGATAAAATATTTTCACGTTTTCACCCACAAGCGTTCTCGTGTAAACAGGGCCTAAGTAGAGCTGTGTGTCGTCTGCGTAGCTGTGGTAAGCGATTTGGTTCTTTTTCATTATTCGGCTCATTGGGAGCATATACAGGTTAAATAGAAGTGGTGCAAGAATCGAGCCCTGAGGGACTCCGCAAGTCATGGGTGTCCACTCAGACTTATGGTCCCCTATACTCACATAATAACTCTCCCTTCTAAGTATGACCTGAACCATTTTAGGACTATCCCAGAAAGCCGCGGTCGTTTATTTATCGTTTATTATCTTAATGAGCGCTGTCTCTGTGATGCGATCAGAAACCAGATTGAAAATTGTCAAAGTATCTATTTAAGCTTAAGAATTTGTTGAGCTGATTGAAGACAACCTTTTCAATGATCTTGCCTATGAAAGGAAGATTTGAGATCGGTCTACAATTGGCCTGTGAAGAGACGACTCAACGCCTGCGATATGTTATGGCGCCGTTTGATTCATAAACAATATTTATATTTAATATTTATATTTAAACAATATGAATGTAAGCCAGAGGAGAACTGGCCCCAGACTGAGCCTGGGTTCTCCCAAGGTTTTTTCTCCATCCAATCTGATGGAGTTTTGGTTCCTTGCCACTGTCGCCTTGCTTTTGGCTTGCTTTGAGCTTGCTCAGTTGGGGTTATTTAGTGTTTAGCAATGTTGTTGATCTGTGTTGTGCTACCTTCATGTTATCACTGTGAAGCTGCTTTGATACAATCTGTATTGTGAAAAGCGCTATATAAATAAATGTGACTTGACAATTGCTCAAGATGGTCTTATCCAGATTGCTCTTTTTCAGGAGGGGCTTGACAACTGGTTCTGGGGTTAGTCAGTCTCTCTACAGTAGCAAAAAGAGAGTGTGTGTTGTTTATAGACCATTTCACAAGATGTAAACAACACTGGTCCAGAAGTACTTCCTGTTTCAGGTTGTAACTGTTTTCTTTATTTCACATGTAAATAAAACATCTTAAAGATGTTTAACTTTTTGATTCAGTTTTAAATGTTCTGTTGGTTGTATTTTATCCCAGCTTTTATGTAGTGTTAAAAAACTGAAACAGGAAGTGCTTCTGGACCAGTGTTGTTTACATCTTGTGAAATGGTCTATATTGCTGTTTATAATATTTGGGAAGAAAGTCTGTCTAGCTTTGCCTATAGTTCGATATAAAATGCATGGATGCTGTCTTTGTAGATGTTATAATGGACTACAAGTTTTGTCTTCCGCCACATGCGCTCTGCTCTTCTGCTTTGTCTTTTCATATTTTGCACAGCTGTTGAGTTTCTAAAAAAAAATAAAAAATCAACAGAGTCAGCAGATATGCTTGGTGTTAAAGATATGGCCTTCATAAATAGCACACTAGTGTTTTCATTTAAGCATCTCTATCTATGTGAATGTTAAAATCTTCAACAATGGCAAAACAGTCAAACTCTGAGGGAATTGTTGATTGCATTTTGGAGTATTTTGGAGGCCTGTAAATAATGATAAGTAAAATACATGTAGCACATTTTAACACAATACCCAAATAAATATTTAAATGTTTAAATGATGCTGCTCCACTACCGCTTTGCAAAATAAGAACAAGGCAACAAAGTACTAGACTAACCAGATCTGCTTTTAAAGTCAACTGTAACATCCCTTTCTGTTGAACATCATTTGCTCAGACTGCTGTTTCAGTGAAAGGGGCAAAATTGTGGAATTCTCTGCCAGATCATCTGAAATGCATCCCGACACTAGATATCTTCAAAAAAACAAACAAATTGTGGTTCATTCAGAAACAGTGTTGTTCGCATATTTAGTTCTTGTCGACTCTGCCTTTTTTGTAATTTTTTTTTTTTTGGCATTCATATTATATTCCATTATTTTCTCTCTATTAGTATTTTTATTCTTGTACTGCATCTTATCAAAAATGTTTTGTATTGCTCGTGTATTGTATTGCATGTATTGCATTTTACTTAAAAAAACCTTTTTAGGGACTAATGTTGTAAATTAGCTTTGGCTAAAAACATCGATACATGCATCAGATCACTGTCAAAGTGTATCTATGTTATCTGTATCTGTCCCTATCTAAATAAACTATAATAATAATAATAATATTCGAAAGACGGGTAATTCCCAAATGATATTTGCTTACATTCATAAACATCTTTAAAAAGAGCAGCTAAACTCTGCAGACGCTCATACAAGTAAAGTTTGGAGGGGATGTTTCATTTAGGACTGTTCCCCTGCCGCTGTCTTCTAGCCAAGTTTCATTTAGAAACAAAGTCCATACAGGTTGTATGTGGTTATTAAGTCGTTGACTAGAAGTGTTTTATTTTTAAGTGAGCGGATGTTTAAAAGTGCTAACTTAATTGTCTTACTTTTTGTCCCCACAGCAATCTTAGTTTGGCGTGTAATAGGCACCAGATTAGATGGGTTTGCTGTACGACTTTTAAAGGCCTTAGACTTTCTATCATGTATCATGCACTTTTGTGATGGATGGTGTTCTCTGACAGTAAAACTCGGTTGATTTACAGCAGTAATAATGTATGAGTGTTTGTTTTTGTCAGACTGTCCAGCTCTCAGAGCATCAGTATTCAGATCGTCGGATCTCGAACGCTCCTGGTGGTCGCAAACGTCACGGAGGACGATTATGGAAACTACACGTGTGTCGCTACCAACAGACTGGGCATCCACAACGCCAGCGTCTTTCTCTACAGTGAGCCTCTCTCTCTCTCTCTCACACACACACACACACACACACACACTGATGCAGTTCAGCATGTTCACCAGCAGATGTCAACATTACCACATGTGTGTGTGTCTGACTCTCTCTCTCAGAACCGGGGATGGGCCGGGACATCAACGCCTCAGGCTGCATGTGTCAATCACTCTGGCTCCTCCTCCCGTGTCTTCTCTCGGCTCTTCTCCAGTGTTAATGTTCAGCGGTCGATCGTCTCGGACTGTTTCCATCCATCATCCACGCTCACCCTTACGCCCCAGCAGGACGACCGTCTTATTATCAGGAGGAAAATATGACATGGAGGAAAGAAAGAAGGTGCTCTTTTTAAGAACTGAATATTGTCATTCACTGCCTTCCAGTGGCGTCCGCGTGTCTGAAAGGTTGAGTGCATGTGTGTGAATCCCCACGGAAAACTGGAGCAGAGTTCCGACCTCACGATCAGCTAGTGATGCTGAAAACGCTTCATTTCATTGTGTTTTCCCATAATACTGTTGCAAAGTCTGCCTGATGTAAACTAATGAAAGAATCATTTAGATGTGGTTAATAACAGAAGGACTGTATTGAGACAGACACGTTTTCTGCTGTATCATCTTCGATCAGAACAATCACCGGCTGAAAGAGACGTCAGTGTTGGTCGTGATTGATCGTAGAATCTTCTCACAGAGCCAAGACCCGCCCATTTGTGTAGCTCCACCCACTTTGCACCATACTAAGCTCCTCCCATGTCCCAGCTCCGCCCACATCAGGCCTAGACGGTTCTGCGTTGCTTCTTCAGGGTTCCCCTGTCCTCGTGGAAAACCATCGGAAGTTTCTCTAGTGAAAATAAATGGTGTTTTTGTTTTGGGGGGAAATCTGTAGAATTCTGTGGAATGATTTTTACCGTGTTAAAGTGTGTCCCGAACGAACACCCTCGTGTGAAGTGTTCATCTCCCCACCGTATGAACTTTGAAATGTCCGACACCGATGAATGCTCGGCTTTGATTCGCTGCTCATTCCCATTGAGTCTTCTCCACGTGTCTGTAAATATTGTTTTGAATCGAATGTCCTCAAATTGAAAAGAAATAAATCTACAGTTCGGGTTCCTTCATATGTAGTTACGCTTTGATGCTTCCTGTAACAAACTGAAATTAAATACTAAACTTTTTACTACAAATATTTAAATATTTCATTCTAAAACTAGATTTACATTTGAAGCGGCTGCACTACTATTCTTTTTATTTATAGAGACTGATCATTTATGTTCATTAGTTATTATAATAGTAGTTGTACAGAAATGAGCTGACTGCCAAACGATTATAGATCCCATTATAGATTACAATTAGAGCCATTTTAGGGATTTACAAACCACACTGAAATCCACACTTCTTTGTCGTTGAATTCGTGACGCATCCGTCTTCTTTTAGTCTTATTTCTCAAAGAGCATAAACAGGTTGTGTGTACACATTCATTTAATAAAGGAAAAAGAGTGATACATAAATAACAGCAGTGAGCTCTTAACCCACGGCCCTTTGATTGACAGCTCACAGCCAATAAGCTTTCAGCGTGTGAGCTCTGATGCCTTGATTGGATGAACCCGCTCGTGTCAGTGTGAGCGTGGGATTTAAAGGGCTAGTCATGTGTCTCCTGTAGACTCTCTGCCCTGAACACGGGTGTTTGGGTTTAATCTGATCCAAAGTCAAGCGTTTTCTATCTGATGCATGCCTCTGCGTGTGTTTGATAGTTACGCAAGCTACAAAAAAACATTTGACTTTAATTTCATCATTAGTGTGTGTGTGTGTGTGTTTTACTCCTGATGCTCTGTAACATGACAAGAAAACCAGACAGTGTGTTTTTGTCTATCCTCTTTTGGGACCCCGGAGTTTCAGTCGGAAGTTCCCGCTAGTCTGACTGACATCTTCATGAAAAGCAATGAACATTTTCTAACTGTGTTTATTTACTCTAAAGTTTCCGCAGTCATTTTTTAAACCCTTCTGCACTGTAAAGTACTTCATGAAATGTTTCAAATGGAAATAAAGTCTTTGAATTTGATGTATTTGAAAGTGGGTTTATGAAGAAGAAAGATTGTAATTTTTGGTGAGAAAATGAGGATTATGAATTCTGTTAATCATGTAACATGCAAATAAAGGAATATAAAGATGGTTAGATCTCCCTTTAAATGGTTGTTATTGTGTTTTTTATCTAAAGCTCAAAGTTACCTTGAGTTCTGTAAATCCTCATCAGAGTGGATCTGTCTATTCAAAAAGTACAGGTCAAAAATTCAAGAGAAGTCATTCTCTGGCCATGAAAATTGACTCTCTTTTTCTATAAAATACTATTTAAGTATTGACAAATTTAGTAAAACTCATAGCTTGATGGAACATTTAAGGGACCTCATAATGTGAGCAGCAGACGGAGTCAATCAAATGAATATAAGGTATTTAATAAAGGAAAACTACTTATACAGGTCAACTAAAGTTACACAGAATACATGTACATACAACATATTAAAGCAACTAACAATGAAAGATAAATGAATTAGAAAGTGGTCAACAGTGTGGCAAAATCACAGACAAAGGGACCTTGAGGGAGAGACTCCAAGATGCCAAACCACCCTCAATGGGGTTAGCAAATCTCAATCGCTTTGAAAGCTCGATAACGATGCTTGCATATGGTTCTCTTGTCACTCGTCTGTGGAAATGAACAAAGTAGAATACGAGATGGGAAACAAAAGAAAAACTAAACTAACAGACTGACGAGAAGATTTAAAAAAATGTCCAAGAGATGAAGAAGAAAGAGATGAAGAGCACTGAAGACGAGGAGGAACATGCGTCCCCATCTCCTTGGAGTGAATGGGCCAATAGTCATTCGGCTAACCGTGAGCGGGAAAGTGCCTTTGTCTTGTTGGGACGGCCTAATTTGCATGTTTTATGTTAAAAGATGTAGTAAGAAAGCTGTTGTGCATAGAATAATATATTTCACTGTAATTTCCTTTATCTGGTTAATTCAGTGAGACTAAGAGGATTACAACGGTACCAAATAAAACATGAAAAGAATAGGAATTACAAAAGATACAGCGTAATGCATAATAATTAGGGTTAGGTTAGCCATGCTCCAAGTGCTGTACATGCTAAGAAAGAAGTATTTTTCTGTGGCCATGAAAGGTAGGTCTAACCCTTTTCTTAGAATAAATGAATAATAATAATAATAACAATAATTCATTACATTTATATAGCGCCTTTCTGGACACTCAATTGGTATACATGGGGATGATTAGGAGGCCATGATGGACAGAGGCCACTGGGCGAATTTGGCCAGGATGGTCAATTTGGCCACCACAGAGGTCACAAAAACGACCTCGGTTTAATATGATGGACGGTGCTCTTTGACAGTATAGTGTCCCCATCACTATACTGGGGCATTAGGACCAACACAGACCACAGGGAGAGCGCCCCCTGCTGACCTCACTAACACCTCTTCCAGCAACAACCTGGTTTTCTCAGAAGGTCTCCCATCCAGGTACTAACCAGGCTCAGCCCTGCTTAGCTTCAGTGGGCAACCAGCCATATAACCCCCTGGCCCAAGGGTGATATGGCTGCTGGAATATTCAAAAAAAAAAAAAAAAAAAAAAAAAAAAAAAAAAATATATATATATATATATATATATATATATATATATATATATATATAATGTGAATGAATGAGTTATAGATTCTTGTAGTGGAGAGTGTTATATGATATGAGTAAAGTGATGCTTCTGTGTTCAAGTCAACTGTGTATTATAATTTTGTACATATTTTTTAATTTTTATTTTTTGTAAGTATATCATCAACCTGTCCAGGGACTGCAGGTGGAAACTAGCATTTTTTGCTATAACCTGGCACATGTCATCTCTTCTTTCTTAGATTAATGGTTTTTTTGTGCCTTGTCCCTGATCAAATAAATAAATTCATCAAATAAATAAAATTTATCATATATATATATATATATATATATATATATATATATATATATAGAGAGAGAGAGAGAGAGAGAGAGAGATAATACATGATAACATCACCTTACACATGATAACATCAACATGGCAGATGTCTAGATCACATTCATACTTAACGTCATCAGGCTATATAATACCTACTCTTTTAGTGATCGTTATTGAAATTAAGTACTTAATCAGTGAGTATGTAGTTTCGAATGTAGCCACGGTCCAGCCATATCGCTCAAAACTACAATTCCCAGAATTCCTCCTGCTCATCACCTGTACTCACTCAGCCATCATCCTCACCTGCACCTGATCAACACACTCATCTCCACACTATTTAAGCACACCTCAGTCACACACTTTGGTCTAAGACTGGTCTTGTACTGTGGATTACGGACCTGAGTGATTTAACTTTTGAGATTTCTCCAAGATCCTGTTCTTACCCTCTCTGTTTTTCAAGGGACTGTTGGAGGTAAAGACATTGTTTATTCATTTACTCTCACAGCAACCACAAGGTATGTGTGTGCGTGTGGAAATACTTACCATTTGAGGTTGTTATCACCTCTTTCTTCACCTGCAAACCCAAGAACTGAAGCATTATTCTTGGGTTGCTCATTGTTAGTTGTCTAAACTCGCTTGTTTTGGACACTGTGTTGGAAAGCATTAGAACATGGGTGTGTATTGATCTGGTGTAACTTTGCTGTTTAAATGATGTGCTTTTTAGATTCAATTTCAATTTGATGTTTTAAATCTGTGTGTGGTTTGTCACAACTCTGTTAGGGATCGTGGCCAATGCTGTCCTGGAAATGGTGTGAACTGCAATCGATAAAAACAAGTTAGTAAATGTTTTGCAAGTACTTGGAATCCTATCAAAGGAAAAAAGTCTAGAAGAGAAATGCATGTTTGTTATTATGCCTCCTTTGATCATAGTAATGTGAGGCTTGTATTGTGTTTTTTTTTTTTTATTTTTTTTTATTTTTTTTTTTTATTCTATTTATGTTAAACTCCTTTTGTGTACTGTTCTTTTAAACATCCCAAATATATCATGCAGATTCAGATTTGATGTGTTTTAAAGTCTCTTTTAGCAGCCGGCCTATGCCAGTGTTTTACCAGTCTTTAAGAGTTTTTGTATATTTCACTTTATCCACTTTCACACAGATTTTTGGAATTATTATTATTATTTTTGTTTCTTTAATTTGGTGGATCATGTTAACTGTTGTTTACTCTGTAGATCTGAGATGTAAATGGGTCTGATGTGAACTCGACCACTGAGATCGGATCATTTGTGTGACACTTATGATTTATTAAGTATAAAAAGTATTTTATTGAATTAAAATTAAACTATCTCCTAAACTGGCTTCCAGGGGTGCTGGATGGAGCAGGCACTAGCAATGGACACACAGCGGGGCCTTTTCGTGCGGCCAGAGGTAAGTCACGAACACACACTTGTAAGGAAGTCAGACTGTTCTTCTCCTCACAGCCAGAGGCAAGTCGTGGAACGGACGCTTGTAAGGAAGTTGCACCATCGTTCTTCTCCTCACAGCCAGAGGCAAGTCGTGGAACAGACACTTGTAAGGAAGTTGCACCATCGTTCTTCTCACAGCCAGAGGTAAGTTGTGGAACAGACACTTGTAAGGAAGTCATACCATCGTTCTTCTCACAGCCAGAGGCAAGTTGTGGAACAGACACTTGTAAGGAAGTCATACCATCGTTCTTCTCACAGCCAGAGGCAAGTTGTGGAACAGACACTTGTAAGGAAGTCACACCATCATTCTTCTCCTCACAGCCAGAGGCAAGTCGTGGAACAGACACTTGTAAGGAAGTTGCACCATCGTTCTTCTCACAGCCAGAGGTAAGTTGTGGAACAGACACTTGTAAGGAAGTCATACCATCGTTCTTCTCACAGCCAGAGGCAAGTTGTGGAACAGACACTTGTAAGGAAGTTGCACCCTCGTTCTTCTCACAGCCAGAGGTAAGTCGCGAACAGACACTTGTAAGGAAGTCACACCATCATTCTTCTCACAGCCAGAGGCAAGTCGTGGAACAGACACTTGTAAGGAAGTTGCACCATCGTTCTTCTCCTCACAGCCAGAGGCAAGTCGTGGAACAGACACTTGTAAGGAAGTCGCACCATCATTCTTCTCCTCACAGCCAGAGGCAAGTCGTGGAACAGACACTTGTAAGGAAGTCACACCATCATTCTTCTCCTCACAGCCAGAGGCAAGTCGTGGAACAGACACTTGTAAGGAAGTTGCACCATCATTCTTCTCCTCACAGCCAGAGGCAAGTCGTGGAACAGACACTTGTAAGGAAGTTGCACCATCGTTCTTCTCCTCACAGCCAGAGGTAAGTTGTGGAACAGACACTTGTAAGGAAGTCACACCATCATTCTTCTCCTCACAGCCAGAGGTAAGTCACGAACAGACACTTGTAAGGAAGTCACACCATCATTCTTCTCCTCACAGCCAGAGGCAAGTCGTGGAACAGACACTTGTAAGGAAGTCACACCATCGTTCTTCTCCTCACAGCCAGAGGTAAGTCGTGGAACAGACACTTGTAAGGAAGTTGCACCATCATTCTTCTCCTCACAGCCAGAGGCAAGTTGTGGAACAGACACTTGTAAGGAAGTCACACCATCGTTCTTCTCCTCACAGCCAGAGGCAAGTTGTGGAACAGACACTTGTAAGGAAGTTGCACCATCATTCTTCTCCTCACAGCCAGAGGTAAGTCACGAACAGACACTTGTAAGGAAGTTGCACCATCGTTCTTCTCCTCACAGCCAGAGGTAAGTTGTGAACAGACACTTGTAAGGAAGTCACACCATCATTCTTCTCTCACAGCCAGAGGCAAGTTGTGGAACAGACACTTGTAAGGAAGTTGCACCATCGTTCTTCTCCTCACAGCCAGAGGCAAGTTGTGGAACAGACACTTGTAAGGAAGTTGCACCATCATTCTTCTCCTCACAGCCAGAGGTAAGTCACGAATACACTTGTAAGGAAGTCACACCATCATTCTTCTCCTCACAGCCAGAGGCAAGTCGTGGAACAGACACTTGTAAGGAAGTCACACCATCGTTCTTCTCCTCACAGCCAGAGGTAAGTCACGAATAGACACTTGTAAGGAAGTCACACCATCATTCTTCTCCTCACAGCCAGAGGTAAGTCACGAATAGACACTTGTAAGGAAGTCACACCATCA